GTAACCTTCCACATTTCGCCACTTCCACATGCTCGCCTTGACAGTACTCCGAGCTCCATTTTACCATCTATTCCAAATTTTTCCTTCTGAATTCCCAAACGCCACATCCTCGCAACCTGGATTCTGTGGACAGTAATTTACATAGACACAGATGCTATGTAAGAAAAACATCGAGGCCCCCAACTGGAAAACACCAACTTTCTCCGGCCAGTAATTGGTACTGTAGCCCTGAAAGCCTCTTAACTCCCCCCACTCCCAACGCGCGCGCCAAACAACAAAAAAAAGCCACTTCTGAAACTTAAATGGGCCCACCTTGGAAGGTGTTACCCGCCCAGGAGGTTGGGCGAGAGGCGGCATTACCTAGGAAGGACTGAGGTAAAGTTCCCTCCTGGAACCAGCCTCTCTTCCTCCAGGAACGGGATCCTTTCCTTCCGGATCCAACTTGAACTAACTTCCGTGTAACCGTGCAGACTAAAGACAGACCCCCACCACCACCACCCTTCCCTGAGAAAAAACGGGAGCAGCAAAGGTTTTTGTTTTATTTTATTTTATTGGGCGCCATCAGCCAGAGCTGTAGGTTTAAACTCTCTAAAACCGATCTTAAGAGGGAAAAGCATTGTCACATCAGCTTTAAACAAATACAAAGAACATTCTTCACAGGGGTCCAGCTCCCTTACATTCTCATTCTCACCCTTTGGCTGCTTCATTAATCCCATATTCACTTAGTAAATAACTTCATCCTCAAACCCTTTTGCAAAGCAGCTTTTGAAGAGTGAAAAGGCAATGGCGGGGGTGCAAGTGCTGGATGGAAGAACTTAAAACAGGAGCAAACAGGCTAAAAGCGGTGAACTGTTGAGGACAGGGATCATCAGGAGTATAGATGACACAGAAGGTACTATCACCCAAAACAGCCATAAAAGAACAAAAGGGAAAAAAAGGAGAGGAGTTTTAGAAAGAGAAAAGTAAAGCACTAGAGTGAACTTCAAAACCCACGATTCAAGAATCCAATGGTAGAAAACTGGTCCAAGAGCTTTTGAAGTGAAAAAAGATCACTAAAAAGTTAAAGTACATTTACAGATGTGGCCCACTTCAATGTAGATTCTGAGTCAACTCTAAGATTGAGTAAAAGCCACAGCAAGTTAAGAAAACTAATTTTGTTACTCTGCTGCACATGCCCTTTCTAGGGGACTTAGCTTGAGGAAGTGATCATAATTCAACCTCCACCAGAAATCCTCAGTTTGATCTTCCAAATTTTTGTGTCCCACCAGCCCGGGATAAAACTTTCTCCCAAAATATCATATGACATCAACTTATTCTGTGAAACCAGAATCTCTACAGATCCACAGGGGACACTAGGAATATAAATGTTATGAGGATCACAATTCATGCCAATGTATGAACATTTAATACTGACCTCCTTGTGCCTTCACAACCTAATTATTTGATTTCCCTTCTGAAAGCCCAGCAGATCTAGTTATATCTCAGTTTGCAAGTCATCAATCAAAGTGAATGAGCCACATTAAATCATCCCTTGCTTTTTAAAATCTATTACAATTTGGGGGATTTCAAGTTTCTCTGCTTTGTCCATAATACCCTACCCAATCTGGTTCTTGCTAGAACCTACTATTTAAGTGCTACCCCTTCCAGATACACAGGCCTTATTATTCCAAGCTCATTCAAAATGGTATATTCTTCCTTCAGGCCCTTCATTGGCCTGAAGTAAGCTCCACTCCGATGCTTCCTTGCAACTCTATTCTATGAATCCATGCTATTTTTCAGAATAGTTACTATCTTTTGATTCTGTTTGTTAATTTTCTGCCCTTTTTTTCCGCCCTAGAAAATACTTGTTCTTATTCCATGTTATATAACCAGTTAGAATGGTATCTGGCACATGGAAGGTACCCAAATATTTGACTTAGTTAACAAAGGAATACATGAGTTAATTTTTTCATAACCAAAGAAAGAGAACTTTGTTTTGTTTTGTTTTTTGAGACAGGGTCTCACTATGTAGTTGAGACTGACCTGGAACTCACTATGTAGCCGAGGCTGGTTTCGAACTCACAACAATCCTCCTGCCTCAGCCACCCGAGTGATGGGATTACAGGCGTGCCACCACACCTGGCATGAGAACTGATTTTTGATTTTTTGAGTATCAGGTTAAGAACCTGGACACAATTCAACAGCAGAGCCCTTGCCTAGCCAAGTACAAAGCTCTGTGGGTTGGGAGGGGACTGGACATTTAGTAATGAAAACATATTATCTTTATTCATATCACCTGTAACTTTCCAGTCTTTCAAACAAAAAGCAGATTCACAAAAGCCTAAGGCAATCTATGCCAACAGCTTTTGATCACTACTTTAACAAATGCAGCAAAATGAACCTTTAGGCAGAGAAGTTTGTAGTTTGAGTAGCTTCATACTGATATATATTTACCCAAATATATTTTACTGAGAATAAAGGATCTTAATGTTTAAAAAAAAAAAAAAAAAAAGTGGAGCCAGGGATCTAGCTCTGGTTCAGATGCCTGCCTTGCAAGAAAGCACAAGGACCCAAGTATGATTCCCATACCCCACCCCAAAAAATCTACCCAGTCCCCCTTGCCCTGATTACGGAGAATGACATTATAAAGAAATTGCTAGTCTGAAAGGACTACCTCAGTGAAATGACACTAGAGAAATACATCTTGTCTGAACACTGTAGATGCCATTTTGGTGACTTGATGATTTAGTGGTTCTGGGAATTGAACCCAGGGCCTCTGTACTGAGCTACGTCCCAGACCTTTTGTACTTTCAGAGACAGGTCTTTGCTAATCACAAAACTGCCCATCAGGATCTTTGTGCCTCAAGTTCCCAGACTGTTGGGATTCTGGGTGTACCACACCTGGCTTTTTCTTTTAGACAAAGTCTCACTATGTCGTCCAGGAAAGACCTTGAACTCCTGGAGTTCAAGTGATCTTCCCATGTCTCCTGAGCCCTGGGACCACAGGTACAAACCACCACACCTGGCCATTCTGGTGATTTTTTTTTTTTTTTTTGGTTTTTTGAGACAGGATCTCACTATATAGTTGAGACTGACCTGCAACTCACTATGTAGCTAAGGCTGGTCTTGAACTCACAGCAATCCTCCTGCTTCAGCCTCCCAAGTGCTGGGATTACAAGCGTGAGCCACCACACCCGGCAATTCCGGTGATTTTTAATTTGCTGATCAATCTACTAAGTTCCTAAGAGGCAAGGGGGAAAAATGAGAACCAAGACCTGTCATGTAGAGGTACAAGATCCCAACAATGAATGTAACTATACTATATCCCTAAAATGTACCAATAAACTCAAAGCTGAAAAAAAAAAAAAAAATATATGAAGGCTGGGCATGGTGGTGCACTGGGGAGGCTGAGGCAACAAGATCACTGAGTTTGAGGCCAGCCTGAACTACATGGTGAATTCAAGACCAGTCTGAGATAGTGAAACCCTGCCTCAAAAAAAAAAAAAAAAAAGCTCAGACTAGGGGTAAACACAAAAGTATTGATGAAATCTACTTAGATATCAATAATCTGCATTAGTTTCAAACCCTTAGGGGTGAATATCTAGAACTTTTACTCTAATAATTCTGGCTCCTAGTTCAGAATTGAATTACAGGCCTGATACAGTCTCAAAAGTCATGGTTGCTCAGAGAGAGCCAGTAAGCCAAGAAGGTTTCCTCTCAATCTTATTGCCAGCTACATCGCCAAGCCTTTTATTAGCCTTCCTTAATGTCCCCACCCTGTAAAGTAACCTTTCTTCTCCATACCCAAAATATGATCCCAGAACACAGAATGGTGATGCAGGAGACTGGTGGTGGCCAAAATGGCCTGAAAATCACTTCTGTGCACCACTATTCACTGCAAAAATTTACTACCTTCACAGTAATTCTTTTTCTTTGGTACAGGAGATCGAACTCCGGTCCTTGCGCTTGTGAAGCAGGCAGTGGAACCACTGAGCTAAATCCCCAGCCCCCACAGTAATTCTTATGTGTAGCACCACATCTACTTCTAGTCTTTTGCTCAGGCATGCTGTTCTACTAGGTCATCCCAATCTTCTCAGAATGCTGTAACTCATTTGTACGAGATGGCTAGCATTTAATCAGAAGTTCTCATTTAACCTTCTCAACACTAAAAAAGAACAATTACAAGTAAACCCCCGGGTGATTCATGATTGGTAGTTCAAATTCCTTGATCCACCATTTGCTAGCTTTGTGATGCTTTTCAAGGGAGTGGGCAAGTTGAAGACTGAATCTACATGTATTCCTAAGAAAAGTTACTTTACCTACAGCTCCGATATTCTCACTTATAAAATGGGTTTTGAATTATCTGATGAAAATACATGAAAAATATACTTTGTTTTGTTTTTGAGACAAGGTCTCACTACATAGTCCAGGCTAGCCTTGAACTTGAAGCAATCCTGCCTCAGCCTCCCTAGTGCTCGGATTTACAGGTATGCGTCACTGCAGTACTAGATGACCAAGTGGGAGCAGAGTACAAGGCAATTTTAAAATCAAATCCTATCTCCAGAAAGTATTCTCCACTGGGAGTTCTACATCCTTTCATTCCTAACCTACCACTTAGGTCTACCAATATTTATAATTGTTATCTATTTCACTGAGTTAGTGCTGACTTCCAGACTATCAATTTCCCTAGGTCAAAGGGCTTAGCTTCCTGAGCACTGCATTTCAAGCACTATTTAATACATAAACAATTCAGAGGTAGACTAAAGCCCAACTTTAGAAAATTTGTGTCTGGAAAACTCCAGATTCTAACCCTTTGACTTTCAATGGCAGCTATAGAACTTACGAGTGAATTTTCCATATACTACCCATCTTATTTTCTGTTACCTCACACACTAGTCGATAAATGAAGTTTGTTTTTGTTTTGAGACAGGGTCTTGCTATATATATATAGTCTAGACTGGCCTTGAATTATGTACTCCAGGCTGGCCTTGAACTGTTGGCGATCTCCCTACCTCAGCCTCTCTAAAGTGCTGGGATTACAGGCATGTACCACCATGCCTGGCCATAGTTAAAATACTGTATTATTTCTCCAATATTCATGTTACAGTCCACTGACTTGGTGTGACAGGACAGACCACCTGGAGAACCAATAGACTGTGCAAGGACTTTGAGAGAGAGAGGGAGCTTAAGTGAAGGGTTGGACTGAGAAGGTAGCCTATGTGGATTATGATAGTCCCATTGCCTCTAGTACAAGAGACAGGACCCCAGGTCCACCCCAGACAGAATTTAAAATAAGGTCCAAACCTCAGAAGACAGCAGGCTGATGAGGGCAGAAGCCTTTATGTGATTTTGCTCAAGGAATAAACCAACTAAAACTCTTCCAATGACGGCCAGGTTGTAGAGGTGATAGATGTAAAGGTGAATGACCCAAAGATAGGCTGACAGCCCATCTCCCCAAAACACATACTAAATATTCATCTTTCCAGTCAGTAAACTCAGCTTTCCCCGAGATACAGGACCTTGGAAATCAGAAATTGACAAAAAGCAAAGTATGAGTGAGTTACAGGATCAACACAGATGGTATAATTTAAATTAATAAGGAGACTTTAAAACAATCTGCAAGAAAAGAAAATGAAAATGATTTAACTTTGTAACTCCTGGCTTGAATGTGAAATCTGAGGGCTGAGGCAGGAAGGACGTCAGAACCTATAGACGACAGGAAGGCAGACTGATCAAATAGGCCAGGTTATTCTGAAGAGCTGGGACTGCAATAAAGAACATCAACACTGGCCCAAGAGCACATTAAACTGTTTTTTTTAATGAACCTTAAAATTGAAGCAGTGGCAGAACCCTCACTGGAGAGAAAGAAAAATACAGAAAGCCACACAAAGAAAGAAATATTGCAAAGTACACAGGCCACAATCATGGCTTTACAATCAACCCTTAATTTTCCAGGGTAATAATCAAAGCTTAGCTTGTTAACTTGGCCTTCAGATCATTCCACCATCACATAGAAAAGTAACAAGAAATCTATTCAACTCCTCTACCCATTCTTCCCCAGTCACGCAAAGAAATGAAGCAGAGCAGCAAAGCACCTTTGAAAGCAAAGCAATGAGCAGAAAGGGAAGCAAAGAAAAGGGCTATGGCCCCAATCCTCCCTGAGATTACCCCAGTTAGCATCCACAAATAAGAGATTATTGTTTAAGACCATAACTTTTTTCACACTGGTCAGAGGAAGAGGACTTTGGGCAAACTACTCTGCCAGCAAGTTCCCTTGAAGCCAATGGAGGCAGACAACACATCCGGATTGTATTTGACTGATATATATACACATATCCCCAAAGTCACCTTTCCCTGCCAGGCTCCCAAATCATCTCCAAAGTATCCTTTCCCAAAGGAGCATCAGGTTTTCCTGTTATCACTCTAATCAATCTTTTATTCACCCATCATTATTAAGTTCAAGCCTCCATCTTGTCCTTTGTTGAAACTGCCATATTTTTGCCCAGTCCTCAACCCCCAGCTCTAGAATGAAAGTATAAAAAAGAATCTCAACTCCCACCCAGTCCCAGCATCCCCATTTGGTTATGCTTGCACCCCACCCATTTCCATAGTCTGTCATCACACCTTCAAATATACAATCTGAAAACTGTTAACAGATGGGGACAAAGGAAAGGAGTCTCGGGTGCTGTGATGGCAGGACACAGGAAGGACGCTCCATGGTGAAGTTCAACAGGTGAGGTACCAGGGCTCTACCCCAAATGCCCCAGAACTGCTCCAAATTTTCCCTGCCCCCTCTTGCAACCACAGGGAAGTACCAGACAGTGGCATCACCCCCACCCACAAATGGCTCCTTTCCAGGTCCCAGACCCAGAACTCACTTGAGCCCACTGCCTGAAGGATCCACTAGCCTCATAAATGCCACAGCAGCCCATTTCCCACTTCTTCTAAAAAGCCACACCTCAGAACCACCCTGCTGGAGCCCAGGTTATTTCTGAACTGGAGAAGATTCAGGGAAAACGGTCTAACATAAGCAGCGGGAAATGGGCATTATTCACTGTATTTTGGTGTGATCAATTCAAATGGAGAACACTAAGGACATCCAATCACTTGGTCTGGACTCTCCATACTAGTAGGATGCCAATGACCTAAATCCCATTGGGCACCAGAGAAGTCAATTATAATCCCCAGCTTCAAATCCCTTTCCACACCCATCCTAGGTTCTCAAGGCTGTCTTCCCTTTAGCTGTCATGTCCTCCTGGATGTCAAACTGGCTTCTCTGAAACTGAGTGCAATCAAGACAATGACAACCAGGTTTCCAAACTGCAAATTGCCCCAAGTTTTATTTGTAGTCCATACAAAAGGGAAAAAAAATTAAGGTTTTCTAACACCACCTACTTAGGGAGATGGGGAATTGGGACTGCCACTCACCATCAGCTAAAACATCAGTGGTGAGCAGGGATTTGGACACATACCAACTGACTGTCCCAATAGGATCTCACTCTCAACAGTCTAAGAGAGGGACAGCCAGGGGCCTGGCATAGCTTGGCGCATAGGAAACGGTTAAGCTAACCCTTTCCTGGCCTCCCTCACATCTAAAAAGAAAAAGGAGCCGCCGACTTCTGTTGCAGGTTGCTTCCCCATCCAGATGACCTTAAGTATCGCGCACAAAAATAAAAGGGAGCCAGGGGGGAAAAAAAACAGATTCCCATTCTGAAGAGATGGGAGGCAGGGCACAGGGGAAACCGCAGATCTAAAGCCAGTAGCAAGATGTACTGCTGAGGCGAAGGAACAAAGTAGGTTACTGCCAAACACTCAAAAGGATCATCTCTTGGGGAAGGCCCACATGGCAGAGGGAGGGGATGAAAAACCGCAACCAGGAGAGGTATGGGCCAGAGTAGTTATGACCCGGGTCTGCACCCTACCTACCTCTCCTCTCCCTCCCTCCCTGTGGTGCCCCATCCCCAGGATGGCCCTACATGCGGCGCTGGTAGCCAGAGTGCATCTGAGCTGCCCGCAGGTAATCATTATAGGAGCCCGAATAGCGTGCGTAATCAGAATGGGCATCGGGCAGGCGACGGTAATCCAGCGAGGACTTTGTCGGCGAGCGGCGGAACGAAAGCTGCGACTCTGATAAACGGCGGTAATCAGAGAGCTCGGCTAAACGCCGGTCGGAACCATACCTAGTCAAGAGAAGAAGACAGTTGGTGAATGAGACAATTGAGGGGAGGGCTCCAAGTGGGCATGGGGGAGATGCCAATGGGGATAGGGAGGGTATGATCACAGTGGTCTCCAACAGTTTGGTTTCCTTTTGTCAGAAGGCTCATCACTATCCAGGCCAAGAAATCAAGCCTGGGCTCAACTCAGTGGGAAACCAAGCCCCTCCACTGAAGCCTTCCTTTCTGACCTGGCAAGGTGAATTTTGGTCTATATTCCCAAACCACAAGCAAACTATCCCCATTCCTGGGCCCTGTACAGAAAGATTAGGTTGTTTATCAACAGAACGGCGGACGAAAGCAAGGTCCTCAACTTCCCAGAGTGGACGCACCTCATAAACTTGCCTTCAGCCAGTGAGTGCCAAAGGGACTACTCTTTCACGCCCACCCCCAAAGCCAGGACAACCAGGTAAGAGGCTTAGGAATCCTTCAGACAGTGGGAAACACACTATGGGCCACAATCCTACAGGCAGTGTCTCTAATGGCACTTGGGCCAGCCTAGACTGGTGAAACTTATCCCAGCCTAACTGGTACCACCCCAGGCTGAGCATGGTGCTCCACCTAAACCCTGGTGATCAGCAAAGTACACAAACACCAACCCTCTCAGCCTCTTTACATCCCACAGGAGTAAAGAAGACCGAGGCAGGGGCCAATGGCTCCAGTTTCCCTCCCATGCCAACCTCAGCCCCTTGCCCTAAGCCCCAGCTGGGGGCAGAGGCGGGGGGGGCATACAGTACCTTTTCGACATGGCGACAGCCTTTTTGTAGGGATCGTCGTAGCTGGCTCGGGGTGGGGAGAGGCGGGTACGCTCATAGGGCGGCGGGGTACTGTTGGCGTTGGCAACGGCCCCCTGGGACATGGACAGGTAGGCTGCAGACGGCTGACCTGCCCCATCATAGGCATTGCCTGGCTGGCCACGGTAGGAGGCAGCAGCCTGAGGATGCTGCTGGGCAGCATAGGAAGCAGCCAATGAGGCTGACGACTGAGTGCGGTAAGGAGCTGCCAGAGTGGCAGAAGGCTGGGCCCCATAGGCAGCTGCGGCACCATAAGAGCCAGTGGCCGCAGCAGCCGATTGAGCCCCATAGGAGCCTGAGAGGCCCATTGAAGCTTGAGCCCCATAACTATTTAGCTGGGTCTGGACAACCGGCTGAGCCCCATAGGAGCCAGCCATTGGGGTAGTGGCTTGTGCAGCGTAGGCAGCTGGCTGGCTAGCATAGGCAGCAGCTGTGGCTGGCTGTGCCACATAAGCAGCAGGCTGAGAAGAGTAGGAAGCAGCCTGTTGTGCAGCATATGGGGCAGACTGAGCATTGTAAGACGCTGAAGGCTGGGCATTATAAGAAGCTGCCTGGGCTCCATAAGCTAATGAGGAGGCTGCAGACTGGGCCCCATAGGAGGCTGCCTGAGCCCCATAGGAGCCTAGGGAGGAAGCTGCTCCCTGGGTGTTGTAGGAGGAAGCAGCTGCACGAACCCCATAGGAAGAGGCAGCCTGGGCGCCATAAGAGGATGGCTGATTACCATAGGAGGCAAGGGAGGATCCCTGAGCCCCATAGGAGTTGAGCGAAGAAGCTGCAGCTGCCTGGCCCCCATAGGAAGAGAGGGCCGAGGCTGAGGGCTGGGCTCCACCATATGGGCCAAGTGAGGAAGCTGCAGCAGACTGGGAGCTAGGGCTAGCCAGCTGGCCCCTGTATGGGGCCCCAAGGGAGACAGAGGGCTGAGCGCGGTAAGAGGCTGCCTGGGCTGTCATGGGCTGAGTCCGATAACCGACACCCAAAGAGGCAGAAGGCTGGGCCCTGTAGGCAGCTCCCAATGACACCGAGGGCTGGGCCCGGTAGGTGGCTGGCTGGGCCGTCAGTGGAGCCACATAAGAGGCTCGGGGAGGTGAACGGCGCAGGGGACTGCGGTCGCGACCAAAGAAGGGTGGTGTGGGCTGACGGGCTTGCCCATCAAAGCCACCAGTGCTGTTGCCAAAAGCCTGCTGGTAGTCGAAGGTGGCAGAGAAGCCACCGGTTCCAGGGAATGCCGTATCCCCAGCCCCTGGTTTCTTGGTCTTGTCCCCAGACTGGACAGCCAGGCCAGGCCCCTTCTTCTGACCCTTGGTTGAGAGTTCCACGTTGATGCGCTTGCCCTTCACTTCTTTGCCGTTGAGCTGCGCGATGGCGGCTTTGGCATCTGCTTCCTTCTCCATGTGAACAAACGCGTAGTCTGATAAAGCAGCAGACAGAGGGTTAGCAATTAGGGGGGCAGGGCATGCTACCAGAGGGATCCCAAACTGGACACACAACAGCACCCAGCTGTTGCCAGCTACTTCCAGGCCTCCAAATCCTACTCTCTAGGAGCGTATCATAAAACTTGGCTCCCATATAAGAAAGCTTCTGACTGTCCCAAGCAATCACCTTTGCTATGGCTTTCTCCCCATTCTCCCCTTAACTGCTGCCACTTCTCCCAACTTCTTGGTGAGAGAGAAAGAGCAAAGATGTACTGCAAGGAAAGATACAAAGTCTTCACACCTCCTTTTAAGTATAAACCAGCAGATAAAATGCACAAAAGTTCCTACAATTATTCAATGTTCTCAACCCAAGCTTACCAAACTCTACTGCTCATCTTTGAGGTATTGTACCTCTTTAACACTGAAAATATGCACTTGAATTTTACATGAGCCATCTCTCAGCCTAGGTCCAAATAAGGCAAAAGAATTACACTGCAATGAGCAAGCAGTTCATAAAATTCCTCCAATATAATCTCCTTTTATTATTTGTAGTATTCAAAGCACCTCCGTGCACAGGACCTCACAACAATCCTATGAAGCAGCAGGACAAAGTATCATCATCTCTACTGTATAGATGGAAAAATATGCTCAGAATTTCTATGTGGTTTGTCCCCCAAATCAAAGTTTATTAATGCTAGGACTAGTCTCAGCTCTTCCATACCTCTATGCTAAGTCAGTCTGTCCTAGAGAAGTCAATGTATAAAACAGCATTGTATAGCATGAATAAAAATGTGAGCTTAGAAAGGGACCAGTATGGGAATGGAAACTAAGCACCTTCCCCTGAGCCACATTACATCCTTCACCATTTCCTCTTTAAAAGGACATAAGGATTCAGCTCAGTGGTGCCGGGCGCCTGCATAGCAAGTACAAGGTCCTGAGTTCAATCCCTGGCACAAAAAAAAAAAAAAAAAAAAAAAAAAAAAGAGAGAGAGAGAGATAAAAGGGCATAAATATAACATTATTCCGTGGGCTTCTGTTCATAAAGCAGACTGCTTACAGAAAAGATCCAGTTTCTCAGCTATAAGAAGCTACAAGTACTTTAACTAGCAGGTTACCTATGCCTGAGGCTCTCAATTAAAACCTGAATGAGTGCTGAGAAAGGATGTAAGACAGGATGTTAATCTCAAAGCTCTATTCATCTATCATAACTTTTGGGAGAGTGGGAAGAAATTAATTCTTCTTCATGCCCATTCCCAAGAACTAATGTCCTGTATTTAACCCAATTTTGGACCTGTGACTATGTCTACAGGGAATCCAAGTACCAAGATCCAATTTGTCACATCAGTTTAAAAAACAAAAAGTCACCTAAATGAAATTACTAAGGTTCCGTTCTCCAACATAAATCCTTTTAATAGCTTCCCAAAAGGATTCTAACTTTTAGAAAGTTTCATTCTAGGATGCCCTCTCTAGCTGTTCCTATAGAACAAGTCATTTCCCTGGATTTCAGGACAATGCTAACAACCTCACAATAATGAACAGATTGTAGTCAAAAGTGTAGTACAGCGTTAGGGATCCCAGGCTAGGAACTAAAAGACTTCAGTGCTAAATGCAAATATTATACTGTTATAAGTTTCTAAGAAACTCACCATATATTTCCCCATCTGACAAACATCCTACCTACCACAAAGACTGGATATTCAAGGGAGAAGAGTGCCATGTAAGGTATAAATAGCTATAGAATGACAGAGAATTATGATGATTTTTCAAATCCAAGAACAACCAGAGGCTTATTTCCCTACAGCATATTATCTTTCATCTTTACAATACCATCCATATATGCAAAACTGGAACCTACTAGAGATGCTATAAAAATCAAAATAAACTATCATAAATCTCAGTCCCTCAGCAGCCTCACAACCAGAACCAAATTCCTCATTTACCAACTGTGAAAACGTAAGTGTTCCTTTCTACCTACCCATAGGATACTAAAATTGTCTGTCCCCTGATGTCTCATCCCTGCTTTGAGCAAAGTTAGCTAAAATTAGCAATAGGTGGTCTAAGAACTCTTTATAAGCAAAGGCTGCGATGACCCTCAGAAATGGCAAAACCACCTAGAGAACAACAGCAAGCAGAAAAGTCCACTCAAAATAAGAAAATCTGCTGGAGCTGGTGGACAGATGGGAGGGGCGAACTCCAGGTACTATGAAGGATTAAGGGAACCACACTACATGGTATTCCTGGCTATTTGGTCAGTAAGTTCCTAAGACCAGAATGAGCTCAGAAAAACACCTAACAATAATTTCATGAATTTATAACAGCAACCATCTACTCCCTACCTAGCTGGGTCCAGAGACCAAATGGTAAAATTTGAAAATGAGATTTCAGGACTGGGGACGTAGCTAAGCAGTAGAGTGGAAATTCTCAACACTACCGGGGAAGAACTGAGAAAGAAAATTAAAAGCCAGGCGTAGTGGCTCACACGTGTAATCCCAGCACTTGGAAGGCTGAAGCAGAAGGACCACTTTCAAGGCCAGCCTGGGCTATAGTGAGTTCAAGGCCAGCCTGGAATACCTAAGAACATTGAAGTCAGGAATGGTAGTGCACACTTGTATATGCAGCACTTTGGGAAGCTGAGCCAGGGGGATTGGAAATTCAAGGCCAGCCTGGGCAACTTATAGAGAATCTGTCTCAAAAATAAAAATAAAGAACAAAAAGGGGCTGGGGATATAGCTCAGTGCAAAGTCCCTAGATTCAATCCCAGGTACAGAAAGGAAGGGGTGAGGGGAAAAGGGGAGAGAGAGGGAGGGCAAGGAAGAAAGAAAGGAGACAGAAGTAAATGAGTTGTGGATCTGATGGGGAAGGGGAAGATAATAAAATTATAGCCAAATTATACAAATTTCTAAGCCTGATATTGGAAGTGTGACTAGGTTGCCTAGCTGACTCAATTCTATTTAGGCTAACTAAACTCACATATGCATCCAAACCCAGATCTAGCCCTGTGAAAAGATGCCTAAAAAACCTACTATTCCTAGAACAATAAAGAAGAACCAGAGATCCCAGAGATCCAAAGAACTCCAGGGAACCCCTTGTCTGGAGAGGTAGTTCAAGGAAACTTCTGAAGGAAATCACTACATTGAGCCCAGAAAGAAATGTTTTTCAAAGACCTCCAAATGGGCTGCTGGTATCAAAATTCCTCCAGTACCAAAGCTAAAGAAAATCAAGAAAAATGAATTTTCCCATTCTAAAAAAAAACTAAAAATATTTAAACTGAAACTATAGAGCTCTGTACAGAATTACCTACCAAAAAAATTTTTCCTCTTCTGACTTTCAGGCCTCCCCTCAAATCTATAAATGGTTCCTAAAATTGTTCATCTTTCAATACCCAATAAGATGAGTTAAGATATAGCTGAGAAGAGTTGTTACCACTGTTGCCGTGAAGATTTTTGTTCTACAAATCATACCTAAGCTCTTGGAGTAATCAAGCAACTATATTGTTTTTTCTTTCTTTCCTGTAAAATTAAACAGAGCTGGTTGTCCCGTGCACTACTAAACTTCAAGGTTTTTCAAAGACTTGACAGGGCTAAGGGTGTAGCTCAAGGGTAGAATGCTTGCCCATTATGTACAAAATTCTTGGTTTTGATCCCAAGCACCAAAAAACAAATACCTGACAACCAACACTAGGAGCTTCAATCAAATGCTCTGTTTAAGAAATGAGTAAGCTATTACAAAGCCAGAGCCAGTCTTTTCTACTACATTCCTGTGTTTGTTTTGGTACCCAAGATTGAACTCAGGACCTTACACTTGCGAGGCAGGCAGTGGAACCACTGAGCTAAATCTCCGGCCCTACATTCCTAATTTAAATACTCACTTTCTTTCACACCCCCTCAAAAGAGAAAGGCCATTGGTGGATTTGATGCTCAAATCTTCCCTACAATCTTCTTACATCAAAGTATATTAAGAGCCCTGTTATATATCAAACTACAAAACAACTAAACACCCCTCTCTGATGAAGTCAATGTATTTCCACTAATAAATGTTTAAAAAGACAAAAATGCCTAAGACATCTCTTCTCTCACAGGAAGTCAGTCAGGAGTTCTAAATTAAATTACAATGCACTTCACCATCATTGTTCCTCGGTGTTGGTCCCAAGCAGATTTGGGCAAAATTTTTACTTTCTCTTTCAACTGAGAGCAACCTTCTTGACCAATAAATTCCATGAATAAAATCCCCGAGGTACTAGACTCTTCACTTCTAGTCTACTAATCACCCTGCTTGAGAACCACAAAAGAAACCTGATCAATTAAACACAAAACTCATGAAGACTCATATACCCTCCCTATCGATTTGTTAGCCAAATATTCAATCTGAGACTTTCCCTACTTTCACTATAAACAAAAGCAAAAATTCATGCACCATATATAGCCTTCCTCAGATCACCCAGCAGGGGAGCCTGATCTCAAGTAGTCATGGACTTGCATAATCTGAGCTGAAGAAAACACAATGTAGTATTAACGTAGAACACTAAGAACCAATTACGAAAACTAAGACCCACATCCCCCACTTATAGAAGGAATGCCTCAAAAGTCAAGCCTTTTGAGAACAGCAAATGAAATATCTTTGGTGAGAATGAACAGTTACCTCTACACATATTTATTTTCTGCCCTCAAAACTTCCCATACAGCACATGAGCAAGTATGATCCAACAGCAGATACAGGACATACTCCCATATATTCCTTGAAGATGACAGGGCAAAGTTATCTCTGATCTATTCCCAAGCAGAACAGCGAATGGCCACATAAGAAGGGCTGTCCCATCAAATCTTGTCAGTAAAAAAAAGACCTTAAGAGGCCAAAACCCCAGAGTGGGAAGAAAAAAAAAAAGAAAAATATATATATTATGATGACGCACTTTTCTCAAAGAAAAGGCAAACTAGGGCTCTGTCCTGGGAATTAAGCCTACTGTATTCAAACAATGAATCAAATCGTGTTTCACCAATGTTTAATGAAGACCTTCCAAATGCCCTTGCCCACGTCCCTCTCAGCCACAATATGCTCCCTTGCAAAGTCACCAAGCTTATAAAATGACACTACCCTGGAACACCAGCTTGTCAGTAGTCTATGCAGAAGGAGACCGTCATAAACAGGCCTCCTTCCACACGCAAAAGGTCCGGGTTTCCAGTTGATAAAAATTCACGTTTGAGAGAACTTAAAAAGCACAGAGCTGCCACGTGTAACCCACCAAATACTGAAAGGCCCATGTGGTTCGGAAGGGACCCCTCCTGTAACCACAAGTAGACCCAGACCAGATAATATTAAAAGATCCTAGCCCGAGAAACGTCCAAGGGCCCCGTTACCTTCCACTCGAGAGCATTCATCGGAGAGAACACGAGGGCGGCCTTGGGGCGTCAGCCCCCACCTTTTCCCTCTTCCCTTGTTCTGACCGACGTCGGGAGAGGAAGTGGGAAAGTAGCGAAATCTTCCCCGATCCACGATCCGGCTTGGGCCGTCACTTCCGAATTTCCGCTCGGTGCCAGGCCCAGGAGACTAGAAGGCGCGCCCCCGGTACACTCGCAAGTCTTTGGCGCGTCCTTGGCCCTTGGGCTCGGCTCGCAGTGGCCGTCGCACCCACCCAGAGCCGCTACCTCCCGCATGGTGAACGGTGCCTGGACCGCAGGGGAGGGGGTGGCTCTACCCAACGCACCTCCAACACCTCCAGCACCTCCGGTTCGCTCCCGCGCACTTCTCCACCCTTCCCAACCTCTCAGTGACGGACCCTAGGGTGAGGGGCGTGGCTAACAGGCCCAGTGCCCCGAGCGCGCCCCCGCCCGGAGCGCGCCTACGCGTTACCTTTTACCACGTCACACTCGATGACGCGTCCGCGACGCTCGAAGAGGCTGCGCAATTCCTGGCTCGTGCATGCAGCCGACACATTGCCAACGAAAATCTTCCAAGTGTTCAGAGGCCTTGGGCGCGACATCTCCACGACAAGCGCGCGCCCCGGCCGCAGCTCGTGGCCGTGCAGGGCCTCGATGGCGCGCAGTGCGCCTGCGTTCTCGCGCATGTGCACGAAGGCGAACTGTTTCATGACGGCGCAGCTCATGACCGTGCCATAGGGCGCGAAGAGAGCTGCCAGTTCCTCCGGCGTTGTATCCGCCCCGTCGACGTTACCCACGAATATCTTCATTTTGCCGCCTCAGCCGCCGCCTTCCCGGAGAGCCGGGACCTCTGCTCCAGCGACTGGCGAGACGTCCGACCTACCGGCAGTCCTCCTCAGGAATGGCTGGCGACCGAGAACCCCGCCGCGCAGGCGCCCTAATCGAGCCAATCAGAGCACGCATCCCGCGGGACGCAAACCAATAAGAGAGGCTGAGAGAAAATGCACTCGATCGCAGCCAATCCCAAAGGGCCTGTAGCCCTTTCGTTAGCTGAGGGGGTGGGAGAGAGACAACCGCGCGCGGCCAACCGCTGCTGCCGAGGGGAGGTGGAAGGAGGGATGGAAAGAAGAGAGCGCGCGCCCGCTGCAGAGGCCTAGTCCGCGAGGCGGTCTCTGACCCGGGTGGGGCTGGGCCCACAGGCCTAAAGGAAAACTTTGTTCCTTCGGAAGTCAGGGCTCTGGAATCCTTGGCCAAACCCGCACTTGGAAGTGGAAGCGTGAGTGTCGGCGGGAAGACCCGGCCTGGTGCGAGAAACGGGCAAAAGCCTTCAGGTAGCAAAGGTCTCCGGGGACTGTGCTGGGCGGCCCTGCGGGACCTAAAAGACATCTGCTCCGGAGAAGAACTCGTGCCAGGAATTCGTTCTCTGTTAGCACATTCCCTGGGGATGGGGAGTTCCTGGCAGACCCTGCAGATAGTGAAAAAAATCAAAACCCGGGTCTACCGTGGTGGAATTTCCAATCCAGAAGTAAGGAGATGACTCTGCTTTTATGTTTGAAGTTTCTCACAATAAAAGTTTAACAAAATAAAAATTAAAACCACTCTTAGCTGGGCGTAGTGGCACACGTCTTTAATCCCAGTATTCAGGAGGCTGAGACAGGATTACCGCGAGTTCGAGGCCAGCCTGGGACTGCATAGTAAGGATAGCCTTGACTATAGAACAAGACCCTGTCTAAAAAAACAAAAACCCCACTCTGAACCTGTCGAACCTGGTGTGGTGAGGCACACCTGTAATGGGAGTGCTGGGAGGCTGAGGCAGGAGGATGGAAAGTTTGACCCCAGACTGGGCAATTTAGCGATTTAGTGAAACCCTGTGTCAAAATAAAAATTTTAAAAGGACCGAGGCTATAGTCCAGTGAGGAGACCCTGTGTTTAATTCCTAGGGCCACAAAAAGAAAAATTTTTCAGGCAAAAGTTGACCCCTGAAAACATGAAAAAGTTTCGACTCCTTTGATTATGTAATTTAAAAGATTTATGCACAGCAGAAAACCCCAAAAGCATGAGAAACTCAGAACAAAAATCCCAATCTTTTTGGAGTTTATATTATGGTGGGGAGAGAAAAACAAAAAGTAAAATATACAGCATGTGAGATGGTCATAAATAATTTATGGTAACCAAGGAATAAGCCATCCTCTGGGGGAAGATGATTCCCACCCAAAAAGAAGAAAAAGTCTTGGGTCAGAAAGCAGGTCTGGCCTGTTCAAGGAAGAAGGGAGAGCTAAACGGAGAGCCTCCAAGGATGAATGAGGAGGGAAGAAAGGAAAAGGGTTCTCAGCATCTTGTGGGCCGCTAAAAGGACTTTGACTTTCTAAGTGAGGTTAGAAGTCCTTGGGGAAGAAGGGCTGTTTGATAGGACTTATGTTTTGTAAATTTTTTTTGTTTCATGATTTTATAAATTCTCTGGTTAGTTGCTCTTTATTTCTTCCACTCTCCCAGTCTGGCTGTTCTTGAGATAAGCAAAGACAAATGGAAAACAATTGTTTTGGGTCCTGTAGTCCCAGAGACTGAGTCAGGAGGATCACTGGGAGTTCAAGGCCAGCCTCAGCTACACAGTGAGTGCAAGACCAGCCTGAACTACATAGCAAGATCCTATCTTTAAAAAAAAAAAAAAGAATTATTTTATTGCTACTATAAAAAGTCCAGGAGGGCCAGGGATTTAGTTCGGTGGTACTGCCGCCTGCCTCGTAAGCGCAAGGTCCCAAGTTTGATCCCGGTACAAAAAAAAAAAAAGTCAAGTAGAAGGATGGGGATTTAGCTCAGTGGCACTTCATCTGCCTAGCAAGCACAAGGTCTTGAATTCCATCCCCAGTACTACCACCACCACCCCCCAAAAAAAGAAAAGAAGGAGTTTCTGCCCTTTTAAAAGAAGTTGCAAAAGGCTGCCTTGCCCCTCCCACCAAGTGAAGACACAAGGAAAAGGCACCATTTCTAAATGAAAAAGTTGGCCATACATAACCAAACACTGAATCTGCCAGCACTTGCATTTACAACTCTCAGAACTGTGGGAAATAAATCTCTGTTGTTCATAGCTTCCTGGTCTATGGCACTTTGTTATAGCAGCCTGATCAGACTGATAAACATATTTTTTTTTTCTTTGAGACACGGTCTTGCTGTGTAGTTCAGACTGGCCTCAAACTCACAGCAATGCTCAGCCTCCCGAGTGCTGGGGATTATAAGTGTGCACCATTATGCCTGGCTAGATATGATAAATTTGAGAGGTCTCTAAATCATCCAAGTAGCGATACGAGTGAGCAACTAGGTATGTGTCTGGCATTCAGGGAAGAGGTCTGGATTGAACAAATAAATTTGAGTGTCCCTAGGAGAAAAATAAGATGGGATAAATAGGCCAACTATCTGAATTAGCAATTTTATAGGAAAAGAAGTCCAATTGGCCAATAAATATGAAACTTCATTTCTAGTTAGGGAAATACAATTTCCTGAGAAGCATCTTTCACCCCTAAGATTTGTAAAAAAATAACTTCTACTGCTGGAAAGTATGAAAAGTACAGTCACTTATTACTTAAAACTGTGAGTTATACACCCAGTGGGGAGGGTGTATATGTGATATTGGGGCTGAATCCACGGCATCATGCACACCAGGCAAGAACTCTACCACTGAGCTACAACCCCAGTTCACCTTTTTTATTTTTATTTGTATTTTGTTTATATTGCTAAATTGCTTGACTGGCCTCAACCTTGAAATTCTTCTGCTTCAGCCTCTTAAGTAGCTTGGATTATAGGCATGTGCTCCCACACATGGGAATCTCAGAATTTTCTAAAAGCATCAATGCTGTAACAGGTTCTTCAAGATCACCCAAGCCAGGCCAGACTGGTTACTTTACAGATGAGAAACTGAGCACCAGAGAAGGGAAAAGAGGTGACCACCTGGACTATCAAGCTGGCGGTAAAACTGGTCTACTTCAAATAGTCTTTGCATTACCCCAGCTCAAAGAGATCCTTGTTTAAATCTGTCATGGTCTATTTTCTATGCTATCACAGAATACCACAGACTGAGTAATTTATGAAGAAAAGAAGTTTTTTGGTTCATGGTTCTGGAGACTGAGAAGTCCAAAAGCACAGTAAAATGTGTAATTTATATATAAATTTTATAAAATTTGCCATTTAAACTATATTTAAGTGTATAGTATAGTTCAGTGATATTAAGTACATTCACATTGTTGTCCAAACACTACCACCATCTCCAGAAAAATTCTGCCCTAGCTGAAACTCTATACTCATTAACTTTCTCCCCTCTTCCCAGCCCCCAGTAACCACCATATTACTTTCTTTATGAACTTGGCCACTCTAGGTACTTCATACAGTGGACTCATACAAATATTTGTTCTTTATTTCACTTAATATGTCTTCAAAGATCATCCATGCTTCATGTGTCAGAATTTTCTTCCTTTTCAAGGCTAAATAATATTCCATCACACATACATTCCACAGTTTTTTTTCTATTCATATCATAGCAATACTTGGTTCACTTCCACTTTTTGGCTATTAAGAATAATTGCTATGAAAATGGGTATACAAATACTGTTTGTGAGTTCCTCCTTTCACTTATCTTGGGTCTATATCTAAGAATGGAATTCTAGAATTTTGGTTTTTCATTGAAATGTTATTTATATAATGACAATCATCCTTTTTAGTCTACATTTCTTTGAGTTTTAGCAAACACCTACAGTTAGTTATATAACTGCCACTACAATTGGTAAACACTCGTTTATCTTCTTTCACTATAGTTTTGCCTTTGTTTGTTTTTTGTACCGGGGATTGAACTTGGGACCTTGACTTGCAAGGCAAGAGGTGGAAATCCCCAGCCCTAGTTTTGCCTTTTCTAAAATGTCATATAAGCAGAACCATAGTTAAGTAGCTTTTTGAGTCTAGTGTCTTTCTTTTAGATTACATAATGCATCTGGTATTCACCAATGTAATTGTATCAGTAGTGTTTTTTTTTAACCAATGATTGACTTTGTGTTGATGCACCACCATTTGCTTTCCCATTCTCAGTTGAAGAACATCTGAATTGTTTGCTGTTTTTGGAGGTTATGATAAAAGTTTGCATATAGATATTTGTGCAAATAATTTTTAATATCTTTTGGTAAATATCTAAAAAGCACAAGGTCATTTTGAGCAATAATAAGATACTGTAAAGTGTGACCATTATGTAAGGCACACAGTAAGAAGCTCAATAAATTCAGCTAATAGGAAAGTTTGCTACATTTTATTATAAATTAAAACAATTTATTGACAGGGCTGGGGGTATAGCTCAGTGGCAGAGAATGTACTTAGTCTATGCAAGGCCCTGGGTTCAATCCCTAGCACAGGTGTGCGCACACACACACACACACACACACACTTGCAAATCACAAATCATCTTTATTTTTTTCTGTGCACAAATACCAGGTGAGAGACTTTGGGTTCAATCTCCAGCATTGGAAAAAAATTAGAAGGTAAGTTTGGAGGATGATCCCTTTTTTTTTTGGTACCAGGGATCAAACTTGGGACCTTGAGCTTGTAAGGCAGGCGGCGGCACTACTGAGCTAAATCCCTGGCATGAAGGATGATCTTGAGCTCTACTCCTTTGCAGGGCCTAGGGCCTCAAGCACACTGGGCAAGTACTCTACCACTGAGCTGTGCTCATATCACTGACAAAGATGATCTGTGATTTCTTTTTTGATTCTGAGGATTGGATCTGAAGCCTTGCATATACTTAAGTATATTCAGTACCACCAAATTACACCCCCAGCCCTATAAACAATTTTAATTTGTAGTAAATATTTTATCTAAATTGAATTAGTACTTCTTAGCCAAGTGTGGTGGCACATGCCTGTAATCCTAGCACTCAGGAGGCTGAGGCAGGAGGATCACTGTGAGTTTGAGTCCAGCCTGGGCTACATAGTGAGTTCCAGGTCAGTCTCAACTACATAGTGAGACCCTGTCTCAAAAAAACCAAAAAGAAAAAAGAAAATTAGTACCTCTTGAACTTTAGTATGCTTCAAAATCACCAGAACACTTTTTTCTTCTGGTACCAGGAATCGAACTCAGGACCTTGTACTTGCTAAATAGGCGCAGCACTACTGAGCTACATCCAAAGCCCAGCTTTTTTATTGTTTTTTTCCTACCAGAACACTTTTAAAAAGAATTTCTAGATTTTAACCCAGAGTTTCTGATTCAGTTGAAGTGACAGAATTGACATTTCAAATAAGCTTCCAAGAAATGTTTATGATGTGTCCCAGGGACTACAAAAGACTCATTTTGAGAGCCACTGGCAAGGGAAAGGTTAGGGAAGGCAGAAAGAAAAACAGGAAGTGTTTTCACAAGCTAGCTTTACACAGCCTCTTTAGAAACAGCCCCCATCTTCCCGGGACCCACTAGTAGCCAGCATTTCTTGGGCAAAGGCTCTGCTACTGCGCTAAAGATGAACTCTGACTGCACCCCTTGGCCAGGATTCAGGCCTCGGGAAGGCCCCCTTCTTGGGAAAATATAAAGTTCTTTAAGTATTCACAGTTATATAAACCCACAGTATGGAATCCCAGGTAGAAGTAAGCATGGGAAAGGCCCTATGGAGAAGGGAGCAGGAAAGACCAGGAGGATCCTAAAAAGTAGATAAGCCAAGTGTGGTGGCACATGCCTTAATTCCAGTTCTGGGGAGGCTGAGGCAGGAGGATCATGAGTTTGAGGCCACCTTGGGATACATGGCAAGACACTGTCTCCAAACAAAATAAAAAGAAGAGAGAGGTGGTTACAAGCCTGGTTGAAGGGGCCACTAAGGAAACAACTGCACAGAAACTACTACAAGATTTAGGGTAGCTCACAGTGAAATTATTTTTATATTAAAGGTTACGTATTTCTTCTTTAAAATGGCTTTGAGTGATACGTGGATCTTGCTTTCTATACTTTACAATATAAAACCAATATAGTTAGAAACATAGACTTGCCGCCTTCCAAGTGCAAGGTCCCTAGGGAAACACAGACTGGGAACCAGATCATCTGGGTCTAAATCCAGACTTTGGCACATTCCTAGCTGTGTAACTTTGGGCAAGTTTCCCTCATCCATAAAATGGGATAATAATACTATGAACTTCATAGAATTATTATGTAGATTTAATTAATTACTTCATTTCAAATATTTAGAATGCAATACTCTGGGAGACTGAAGCAGGAGAATGGGAAATTTAATCTCAGTCTGGGTAAAGTAAGAAAAAAAAAAGAAAGAATGAAAACAAAAAGAAAAGGCTAGAATGTATGTAGTTCAAGGCAGAGATCCTAGGTTGAATCCCTGAATTCAATTTATAAATGAATAAAAATAAATAAATAAATGTATGTAATCGTCTAGAACTTAATACCATATGGTAGGCATTGTAAGTACAGTGGACCCTTGACTTATGAACTTGATCTGTTCCCAAGGGCTGGTTGTAACTCAAGTTGTTTGTAAGTCAATACAGCTGAGATCTGGATGTTTACATGGGTACACACTATAGCTAACAAGAGGCAAGTGACTCTTCCATTAACCCAAATTATTTGTGTGTCAGGCTGGTTGTAATTTCAGGGGCCACTGTATTTGTTAATATGATTAAGATTTCCTTTTAAACTGGGTGTGGTGGCAAACTCTTTGTAATCCCAGCACTTAGGAGGCTGAGGCAGGCAGATAGCCAAGAGTTCAAGGCCAGCGTGGGCTACATAGTGAGTCTGCCAGCCTGAACTAATAGCAAGACTGTTTCGCAAAAAGCCAAAAATAAATAAATAAATAAATTCTCTTTTAGAATAAATTTAAAAGTGAAACAATTTATTTTATTTTATTTTTGTACCAGGGTTTGAACTCAGGTCCTTGTGCTTGTGTAGCAGGCAGCAGAACCACTGAGCTAAATCCCTGGTTTTAAAAGTGAAATAATTTAAAGCAAAGTATTTGGTAAATTATGACACAGATGGCAAAATTTAAAACATGGCACAAAAATGCCTGAATTTGGCAAAAGATTCCTTTTTTTTCTTTTCTTTGAGAAAGAGAACAGTGCCTTGCTATGACATGTCTGGAACTTGAGATCCTTCTGCCTCAGCTTCCTGAATGCTAGAACTACAGGTATGCACCACTTCACTTAGCTTGGCAAAGATTTCAAACTGTGCTCCAGAGCTTTGGGGGAACCCTGGGACAGGGTTAAAGCATCTTTGGCTGCAGATCCACTTCTGCTTTGCAGATGGGTCTTCAAGATTGTCGCGCGCCGCTCGCCAGCAAGAAAGCACGCAACAGTTAGGATCCTTCTGAGGCTTTATTAATTGTGTGGAGAAGGCACTCAAACAAAGGAATACACTTCCTTATATAGACTAGAGTTCTTCCACATTAGGCAATGCCCCATGGCAACAATTACTCCTCCAATGAGGATTTTTCCTAGTGTAACAGACTACAGCCAGTGTGGAGAAATCACCATCTCGCGATCCTCCATTACATGTCTTACATCTCATATTCATATATAAATCATTATAATTATAGCAAAGCAGGCAAACTCCTTTATCTAGCAAGATAAAATAACTATATCAGCCTAAAGCACTAATTGGGCACTAACTCAGCAAACTAGGCAGACATGCTCTCCACACAAGATATTTGAAGTTTCCTTCCTTCCTCTCTCCTCCCCTCCCTTCCTTTTTCCAGGTCTCATCCCCAGCCTCCTAGAAAGTGGTAGAGAACAGTGAGTAGTTCAGCCATAAAAGGGTTATCAGCCCAGCTATAATTCCAGACTGGAGATGAAAGGTCAGGGGTTAGCTATGGGCAGAATGCAGGAGTTCTTCAATGACCTGAATCCTGGGCTTCAGGTTTAAAAGGGTTAGCTGCCAGGGGCCACAGGGAAATGAAAAATAACCAGCAGAGGATTGGCCAGAAGAAGCAGGATCCAGGGATGATCTCAGGAGGCAGTACCAGAAGCCGTGAAACAGCAAGGCCTGGGGCATGGAAGCAGAGCCAGGAGCCTCAAAGCCAAGGCCAACTAACTGTAAAGCTACCATCTTATCCCAGGCAGGGAGCATAGGAGCAGAATTTATAGTCTGACAGCTCACCCTGTTGTAAAGTCAGCTTTGTCAAGGATGAACATGCCTGATGTGGTCCAGCAGGGTAGGGGACAGAGCAGTATGCTATTCTAATTAGCAGCAACTGGCTGCAAGGGGTGCTTTGCTGGGGTTGCATCCAGGGACCCCATATGCCTCTGAAACACATCCGCTACTCACTTAACTATATGCCAGGCCCTATGCCAAGCACTTTACTTATCAATTGAGAGTTAATTATGTTAGTCTTTTACTTATAAAACAAATTAACTCAAACCAGATTAAAATTTTTAAGGTTGGGTGTCATACATTAGAGGGATACAGGAGTGTTTTTTGAATTCCAGGTCAAGAGGCAACTGGCCTCAGGAAGGGCCAAGATAGGGGACTCCAGGGATGCTGGAATTCTCCAGAAATTTTGTTTTGTTTTGTTTTTTTTGGAGATAGGGTCTTGCTATGTAGTTCAGGATGGCCTTGAACCTACCATGTAGCCCATCCTGGTCTAGAACTCACAGTAATTCTCTTACCTCGGCTTTCCAAGTACTGGGATTACAGGTATGATCCACCATGCCTGGTTTTCTAGCAACTTTTAGGTTCTCTCAGGGCATCTGCCTCATTCCTCCTCCTTTGCAGATTGGCTTTTCCTGATATTCACATGATAAGACAGGAGGAAGTAAAGTTCCCATAATCCCATGGTATGGGTCCAACCACAGCTGGGTCCACTCTGATTCTTTGGGGAAAGCAGAGTTCAGTACAGGTTGAAATCCATTTGGTTCCAATCAGACATAGTGAAGGGGAAGAGGAGGCCATATACAGAAGTATCACTGCTGTGACCCCACATTATGACATCAAGGAGGAAGCAAGTCCCCTGGGGTATGTATGGATTTGAATATGACTTTGTTTTGCTCCTAAGGGCAAAGGGGTTACCCTTGATGAGGACAGAGACAGAGAGCCCATATGTTCACCAAGCCCATTAAGGGACACAGAGACACAAACACAACACAAAGTTCTTTATGAAAATAAAAGTTTAGTTTGCCAAGGCATCATCACAGCCACTGTTGCACCTAGTTGTTGTAGGCCTGGGCAAGTGAGGAAGAAGGCATTCAGCTGGGAGGAAGAACAGATCTAAGATGAAGCTCTGCTCAGAGGTGGGCAGGGGGCTGGACCGAGTTCTTCCGGCCCTCACCAGCAACGGGCCGGCCTCGCTCCTCCCAGATAGTGAGACCATCACAGGAGCAGATCTGTTTGGGGTTCTGGAAAAGGCCAGCAGAGCGTGCGATGATGCCACAAGCCAATCTGCAGAAGGATGTGGGGTCAGAGTAGGCCCTCATCTGGTTCCCCCCAGGGTCCATGCACCACTGGTAAAGCACAGCCTCCTGCTGGGTGGCAACACTTACCTCTCCCCAGAGTTCCCTGTGATCTTGGATAAGGGATGGCCTCCCCGGCCCAGGTCATCTTCTTTCTCATCGATAACCAGGCTACGGCCAATCACATCCCACACCTTGGAGGAGAGACAACAACCCTCAGCCCACTGTCCATTAGAAAGGGTTCCCACCTTCTTTCCACCTCACCTTCAGCTGCTCATCCTCTATCCGGAAGATGGCTTGGCCATCAGCATCAGCATGGACATTGCCCAGGTCTCCACGGTGCTAGAATGAGACCGAAAAAGAAAGAATTACATGAGGCACAGCTGCTATCATCCAGCTTCCTGGTAGCGGATTCCTCGTCTCAACTCCCCAAACTACCAACTTCCTCCTATGGCTAAGTCTGATTAGATCAAGGACAGCCCAGGACTCAAGTACAGCAACTGGTCACTCCTCCATAAATAAATTCCTGAGCAGAATGCCAGAATACTGGAAAGAGCCAGCCTTCTTCTTATAAACCTGTTGCTGGCCCTGCTTCCAGCCTCCAAGAGCCACATTCCTGCTTCTTTCCAAGCCTGGTTCCCCAGCCTCCTAGTGGCTCCTTGGCAGTCTTTAACTCCTCAGGCTTTATTTGGCCATGCTTGGCTTCCCTGATCATTCCAACAGCCAGCATACTTCCCTAACCCCAGCACCAAAGAACAAAGAAACACAAGAAAATAAAGGGCTTGTCGTGGCCCCAAAAACTGGCTCTGTCCACCTTCCTTTACAAAAAAGTGTCATGACATATTTACTTAGCATATCTTGCAAGGCAGACATTCTGCCAGGCATGTCAGGAGTATATACAGGGGCCCTCTCCAAGACCTCAAATGTGAAACAGATGTGATTATGAAACAGTGTGAGGATAACAGTTGATGAATTTTGGGTGATGGGACCTTACTGGTGAGCCACAGAAATTACATCTGCCCAACCTGGCACGTGGAACCTGAAGTGTGGACTGATCCATCTGCCCTTGCTGCTGGATAAGAGCATGTCGGTGTGTGCTGGGGCTGACAGCTGCAAAGAACATGGGCTCTGCTTTATCTTATCCAGATGGACATCTGCTGCTGGCATCTGGTACTTTTGTTATGCTGCCCTGTGTTGGGGACTTCAGTGGTAGAAAGATGGAACCTGGAGGAGTGTCTTTGGCTGGGCTGGACTAGGGAGCAGACTGGGGACTGTGGCCTGAGGCATGACCCTGCAGGGGGTCAGGGAGAAGCAGACTTTCCAGTCCCTCCCCTCAGCGTACTGGTGGGGAGGCCTTCAATATCACACCTACACACTGAGCCCAGCCTGTACCCTCAGGCACTAAAGAACCAATAGGGGTTTCAGGGAGGGAATGGCTTAGTTCCTCTGTGCTTCACAGCAATCCCTCTAGTAATGCCTGAGGAGGAAAGACTAGAGGGGGATGAAAAGACAGGAGAAGGAAGCTTAGAGATCATCAGGAGATAGACAAGGGACAATTAGGCTTGGATGTAAATTTCTGTACTCATAAGCAAAACCATGTAATGAAAACCCTAAAGAAACTTGCCAAATATTCATATACTATTAATAAAAAGCTTAACTTTTTATGAAGGGCCATACTTGCCTATAAAGTTTGTACAACAAAGCAAAAAAATAACAAAAAAGCAATACTTGCAGCTAGTGGCAAAATATAACCCATATAATTCTAAAATCATGCAAATAAGGGTATTAAAAGGGTTTATGTCTAAAAAATGTAAATACTTGGTTGATTAGAGGTTATGCATACTGGGGAATAATAAAACATTATAAGGATAAAATTACAGAAAATCCCTCCTAGTAATAAAGTAAGATCCATGTAGACAAAAAGATGAATCATCCTGATATCCCTTCAGGGAAGGTCGAGTCATAGCCCATGTATGTGCAGTGTGGTCAGCAGATAGCCTGCTATCAACATCTGCCTTGTCTTCCCACTTTCCTTCCCTAGGTATGACCCCTAATATACATCTTGTAGTCCAAACTTACAAACAAACAAACAAAAAACTTGCCAGACATCATGGCGGCCTTGGCCACTCACTTTTTTGTTCAATTCATTCTGTCTACACCCAAGTGCTTGAGTTCAATATGACTACTGACTACGGTACTTTCAGGGAGAAAATGCAGGTCACGAGGCAATCTCTTGCCCTTCAGAAATGCTCCATTGTGTCACATCTCAAGGCTTTGCCTGATCAGGTCCCTGTGCTGTGTCTGCCTTCTCCACTCTCACCTTTCCTCCTGCTAGATTCCTGTGCATCACCTCTCGAGGCTCCCAAGGCAGACAACACGTCCCATATTCACATTCACATTCTGTGTGATTTATCTCCCTTGAGGATGGGCTGCACCAAGTGTCACTTCCCAGGTTAGGTTACAATAAGAATGTGGATTCGGGGTGCTCATTCACAAGTTCTGAGAGAAGCCAGCTGCCATGTCATGAGCTTCCCTAGGGAGAGGCCCACATGGCAAAGGACTGATGTCTGGCCAGCAGCCAGGGAGAATCCCAGGCCTGCCAACAGCAACATGAGCAAGCTGGGAAGCAAATGCTCATGTCAGGCCCTGAAATGACTGTGGTCCCATGAGAATCTGAACCAGAGGCACACAGATTCTTGCCCCATAAAATTGTGAGATAATGAATGTTTTTTGTCTTATACTCCTAATATTGGAATCCTTTGATTTGAGGTAATAGGTCACTAATATCCTGACTACAAACATCTAATTGTGCAAAGAACCAGACAGAAACCCCTCTCCAAGTTCCCTGGACACAGAGAAAAAATTATGACTATGAGAAAAGAGACAGAGCTGTCAAAAGTTTAAAAAAATCAGTCACATGAATTAAGAAACATGTACAGATTGAATATGCTTTATCTGAAATGCTTGGGGCCAGAGTGTTTGCTTCTAGTTTTTGAATTTTGGAGTTTTTCATGTTGGTTGAATATTAGTTGAATAGCCCTAATCTGAAAATTCAAACTCTTAAATGAGCTCCAAAGTTTCATATTTTGGAGCACGTAGACTTTGAAATTTTCAGGTTACAGGTATGTTCGAATGATACCACAGACTCACTGGCTTTGTATCAGAAGATAGCAAATTTCCATCCAAAAGAAAATAAACAGTGTCTGGGAGGACATAAGAAGGAGCTGACAGTTTCCCAGCATCAGGAACCAAAACTTCCCCTTGGACTATATCTCCCAAGTGCAGGGGGGACTCACACCCCTAGAAGGGAGATGCTACTAGACAGATGAGGAGCCCTTAAGGAACATGAAATCACTGAGAGGGAAAGCAATCCTCTCTTCAGTGGTTTCCCAAACCCTGGGAAGACATTAAGGAGAAAGTCTCAAGTCAGTGCTAACAAGTGTTTAAAAACTCACTAATGTCCTCTCATTTCCACTTTGACAGAGATAAAGCAGGTCTCAGTCTCCAGGAATCTGAGGTCAGACTCTAGCAAGGTCCTCCCTCCCCTGCTTTTGGGGGGTGCTTTCATTGATTTATTTTTGTAATGATCTTCCTCTTATGGCTAGAAGTGCTGGTTTTTCATATTAGGTAGTAATACCAAGTTTTGTTTTATTTTGATGGAACTAGGCATTGAACTCAGGGCCTTCATACTGAGCTACTGCTACAGTCCTTTGGGCTGGGCTGGGCTGGGCTCAAACTTGGCAATCTTCCTGGTTGAGCCTTCCAGTGTACTAGGATTATAGGCATGTGCCATCACACCTAGCTTCAAGTTTCTCATTAAAAATAAATCTTGGTCAGTGGTTCCACCACCTGCCTCGCAAGCACAAGGTCCTAAGTTCAATCCCCAGTACAAAAATCAATCAATTGATCGATCGATCAATCCTGGGCCAGGATTTAGCTCAGTAGTACCACTGCCTGCCTTGAAAGTACAAGGTCCCAAGTTCAATCCCTGGTACCAATAAATTAATTAATTAAATAATTAATTTTTAAAAATCTACCTCAGGGCCAGGGATTTAGCTAGGTGGTGCCATACCTGCCTCGCAAGCACAAGGTCCTGAGTTCGATCCCCAGTACTGAAAAATAAATAAATAAGTAAATCTACCTCAGCCAAGGCAAGTGCTGTGCACCTATAGTTCTACTACTTGGGAGGCTCAGGCAGGATTGGTTGAGCCCAGGAGTTTAAACTGGCTGAAAGCTAGGCATGGTGGCACACAACTATAATCCCAGCACTTAGAAGGCTAAAGGAGAATCACCATGAGTTCCAAGCCAGCCTAAATTGTCCAAAGCAGGACCCTGTCTAAAAAACAAGACCAGCCAGAGCAACGTAATAGCGAGATCCATCTCAGTCAGTCAACAATCTACTTTAATGATATGAAATGAAGTCTTGATTTGCTTCAAAGTCATGATGAAGATGGGCCAAGTACGTAGAAGAAACAAAACTGATCTTGAACTGGTAACTTGAAATCAAACGATTAGGAAACAGGAGTTTATGACATTTGTTTCTCTATTTGAAATATGCTTGAAACTTTGCCGTGATAGATTAAAAAACTAAATAAAAACAACTAAATTTACCTAAGGAAAAAAATGAGTGAACTTAAGTGATTGAATAATGAAGATTACTAGTTGGATTCAGATAGGGCCAAAATCATCAAGGTGGCACATGAAGATGGGGGCAAGAATTTTCTGATGAAAAATGGAACTCCAAGGTTGGAGAAGTAGTGTCAAGATGGCATTTTTAGTAAAATCTTCCACTTCTACAGCCTCCTATCTCTGGGAGGTGTTCTCCCATTGCCCCTCCCCCCTCAGAATGGATCAGGTGTTGAATCTGGGATCCTAGGGTTTGTGTCAGGCTTCTCTTATTGTACCACAACCACAGGACTTGGTGATCTCCTCTACTAGACTGTGAGCCCCTGGGGGGAGGCCCTGGGCTGTGCACTGTTGTATCCCAGGACCTTGATTATGGAAAACATGAATAAAGGTCCCTAAGCTAAACAGAGATCAAGTGAAAATAAAAGGTCCCAAGAGCTGCCTGCCCTGCTTCTGAGAACAAGGGTTCTCTCTATGCCCAGCCCAGCACAGACACTTACCCGGTCAGAGTCCTGAGGGCCCCCATGAGACGTTCCATCAGGGTTGAAGTGGTCCCCACAGCTAAGGAGGTAAGGCACCAGGTGGGCAACCAAACTAGCTCACAGGCCAGGCAGTCCACCCTCTTCTCTATCTATATTTGCGTCATTCATTCATTCATCACTGAACCAACAGCCTGGGTTATGCCCTCAATGAATTTCTGGTCCAAGACAGACACAAATGAGTAAACAACAAAAGGTATCATAGCAGGACAAACACCCTGATGTGGGTATCCTTTCCTTCCTGTTTCCAGGAGTCATCTCTCTCAGAGGCAGTCAGGTGGTTCCTGGTAGGAGCCTAGAGTCAGATCTTAATTTGAACTCCCAGCTCTACCTTTTTATACACTTGGGGCCTTTCATAAGTCATCTAAACTGTATGAGCCTCAGTTCCTCATCTGTAGACTAGGGTTATGTGCCTCCCAGGTACTTGTGAGGGCCTGATGTAAAAGCATGTAGCCAAGGGCGGTATAAGGAAGATTACAGATAACTTACCTGCTGCAATCCTTTGTGAGGTCCCCATATTGATGGACATGGAGCCCATGCAAGCCAGGCTGCAAGCCGTCAATGGTTCCCTCGATGAGGCACCGCTCAGGGCTCAGCTGTAGGAAACGTACCACCCCCTGCACAGGGCCAAGGCCCCCCAGAATGGCCACTGCTGCCCCCAGATTCTCTGCAAAATATTGGACAGTTAGCCTGGCTTGCCACCTCAACCAGCCCTATCCCATTATCAGCTCAGAAAGGCCAATGAAAGAATCTCATACAACTTTCACCCCATTCCCAAAGCCACTCCAAACCAGAGCACAAGAATCTCATGGTTAGATTTGTACCAGCTCTAGGCCAATCCCAGACAGGTCAACGCCAAAGTCATGATGACCACTTACGCAATTGGCTGCTGCCCATGCCCTTGAGTACAGCCTGCCGCCCCGTGCCTTCCAGGAGTGCCTGCACCTCCTGGCTAGGCAGAGTGGTCTGCACTAAGACCATTTGATTCTCCAACTGCACCTCTACATCCTGGATACCTGGGAGGAGAAAGCGGGCAGAGGGCAACAGAACGTTGGCACCCTGTGCTGGCAACAAGGAACAAATGACTCCCAAATCCCACTCCCACTAACCTTACTATGGCCAGAGCTAAGCCTGGAAGCTGCCCTCTAGATGTATGGCCTTGAGTCCTCTTAACCTTTTAATTCCTCAGAGTCTGTTTCTTTATGTATCAAGTGGGGATAATAGCCAAATTTCAGGATTTTTGTGTCTTTGTTACAGACCACACTTATTTATAACTGTTTGTTTGTTTTTCTTTTTCCAGTACTGGGGATTGAACTCATGACCTTCATACTAAACTACATCCTCACATCCTTAGCCCTTTACTTTTTGAGACAGGGTCTTGTTAAGTCACTAAGTTACCAGGCTGGTTTCAAATTTCCAATTCTTCTCACTTAGCCTCCCAGAATGCTGGGATTACAAGTGTGCACCACAGCACCCATCTTATTTATAGCTTTTGAGATATTTAAAATTCTTCTTAAAATGTTTTTATAAAAGTGGGCTATCCATAGCAGCATTATGGTAACAGCTGAAAGGTGAAAACAACCTGGAGGCTCATCAGCTGATGGACAGATAAGTAGTAGTAGTATCCATATGATAGTCTATTAGCCATAAAAAGGAAATAAAAGTATGGATAAATGTTCTAACATGGATGAACTCTGAAACACTTTGTTATATAAAAACTGTCACAAAAAACACACATATTATGCGAAGCTATTTACAAGAAATGTCCAGAACAGGCAAATCTATAGATAGAAAAATAAAATCAGGTGGGGGAATAGGAAGATGATAACTAAAGAACACAAGATTTCGTTCAGTGATACAAAATTTAAAGTTCATAGTGGTAATGGCTGTACAACTCTGAATATATTAATTTCCTTGTAGACTTTATTCCTTAAAATTTATTTTTATTAGTACATGTTTGCAGCACATGATTATCTTCATTGTGGGGAGCTGGTACATACACATAACACATTTTAGTTCTTTTTATGTCCCCTTCCCCACTTCCTCTGCCTCTGCAATGTATACTTTAAATGAGCGAATTTTATGGTATGTAAATTATATCTCAATAAAACTGTTATGTGCATTCAGGGGGTGGGGGCTATTGACATCATCCTGAGAGCTGACACTGACTAAGAAAGTACCATGGACCAGGCCTCTTCGATGCATTTTACCTGTACTGACTCGTTTGATACAGTAACCCTGTGAGTTAGGTGCTATTATCTCTATCTTATAAATGGGAGAATTGAGGCACAGAGTGATTAAGAAATTTGCTCAAAGTCATATTTGAGTAAGTTGTGCAACAGGAAACCCTAGGTAGCCTAGCTCCAGAATATAAACACTTAATTCAGACATTCTACTTACCCCAAGAAGCAGGCTCTTGCTTCCTGGCCAGGATGAGACCTCACATACACACACTTACCCTATAGCAGCTCCCACATCCCCTGAGTGACCCACTGTGCAGAGTATAGTCTTCTGTTTCACTCACTAGGCTGCTAGCTCTGTGTGGTCCACTATGGACCATGTATGCAAGCCTGTGGGATGATTCTTACATACTTCTATGGAAATAGTCTCAGCTGAGCATGGTGGTACATGTCTGTAATCCCAGCACTCAGGAGGCTGAGGCAGGAAGATCATGAGTTTGAGGCCAGCTTTAGCTACATAGCAAGTCTTAAGCAAACCTAGGCTACTAGGGAGGCCCTGTCTCAAACAACAATAACAACAACAACAATATAAAGTGGGGATAGCGTAATCTCAGCACTCTGGAAGGCTGAGGCAAAAGGACTGAAAGTTTGAGGCCAGGCTGAGTAACTTAGTAAGACCCTGTCTTAAAAAAATAAAAAGAGGGTTGGGGATGTAGCTCAGTACCAATGGCCTGATTTCAATCCCCAGAATAAAAACTTTTTTTTTTTAGACCTCACATAACTTATGCCATGTTACCTGAGGAAAGGTTTTTTTTAAAATTAGGGCATTAGGGGCCAGGGATTTAGCTCAGTGGTTCCGCTGCCTGCCTCACGAGCGCAAGGACTCAAGTTTGATCTCCAGTACCAAAAAAAAAAAAAAAAAAAAAAAAAAAATTCTGTCTTTTTAAAAATTT